TGTTGACAATTAATTTCATGCAATAAATGGAGCTTTTTTCCCATGAACATGCGTGGTTGCTGGTTTTCTTTCCCTGTTTACTCTTGCTCATCCACAGCTATTAATGCCGTTGGCTTCTGCCCTTTAATCAATTAATTATTTTTTTTTTGCTTTTCATTTTTTTCATTAATTTTAACTGTAAATTTATTATTTTGTACAAAAATGATTAAAAAATAAATATATAAAGTTATAAATTTAAATGCTCAAATTATATATAAAAAATTAAAAAATTAATCGGCGATGGTGGCCGCCACCCATTGTCACCTTGGCTCCACCACTACTTCCTGTTATTCCTTCTCTCTCACGTATACTCTTTGATATTCTCCTTTTAACAACTTTGCCACCTCATTTCTATTTAACAAGCTTCATTCTCACAATGGAAGAGAGTAAAACAAGAGACGATGGGCATCGTCAATTGGTCGTCTTTGAAAGGATGTCCATTAGTGACCAGTAATATGTTCACCTCTTCATTTATTGCGACGATGAAAAAGATTTAGGTTTATTTTATTTAGTTGATGTTTTTACTCTTTTTTTTTTATTCTTTTTCTTTTGGCAAAAACCGTAAATATCAAAAACTAAAGAAATAAAAGCATATTTCAAACGAATTCTTATATGGTATCAAACATAATGATATGGTATCATAACATACATAATGCTATTGTCTTTTAAGTGCTTGCTTGGTTCGATTTTTTTTTCAATTTATCTACTTTTTAAAAGTAAAAACAGAATAAAACAAGTTTTTGAAAAATATTTTAAAAATAATTTTTTTTAAAAAATAAAATCTAAAAAAAAACTTCAAAAAAAGCTACATGTAGGAGATTTCTCTTCTCTTCTTTTAAAAAACCCAACATTGATGTAAAATAAAAATTATTAATTTATGAGTTATTTATAAATTATGTGTTAGTTATAAGTTATTTGTGAAATTCTTTTTTATAATTTATTATTAATTATAAACTTTATATTATATAAAAATATTTTTTAGATTTTTAAAATTTATTTTAAATAAATAAAAGAGTTTTTTTTAAATAAGCCGCTTCTGACTATAAACTTCTTTATAATTTTAACTGTTTTTAACTAAAAAAATTAAAATTTGAACAAAATTGCCCTTAATGAAACTGACTTATTTATTTGACTCCGCGCCTCAACTTGAAACCTATCAACTGGTCAAGTATATTTAGATCTGCACTTCAAGCCAACTCATATTCTTTGAGATTTCCTCGTCAGATTATTCATTTCTGGAGTATTCCTTACCAGAAAGAAAAACGTTAAAGCATTTTATGTATTTTGGAGTAGTTTTTGATATACGAAGAAAATCTTTAAGCATTTTGGAATGATTTTTGATATATGAAGAAAAACTTTTGAACATTTTGAGCATTCTTTGTCAAGTAGGCATATTCGTTAATTATGTTGTAAAATGAAATATGGTATATCATTTGAAGTTGTTGATCTTGTTAAATGAAATTAAGTAATTTTGGTGATTTTTAGACATTACGTGACTAATTTCTAAGCATTGCATGACTTACTTTGTATATTGTGTGACTAGTTGGCATGTATTGCGTGACTTGTTAGTAAGGAATTGTGTAACTTAGGCATTGCTTAAAAATTAATTACGCAATGTCTAAAAATCAATCATGCAATGTTTATAACCAATCACGTAATGTTTAAAAATTAGTCTCGTAATACTTAAAATCCAATCTAATGAATTTTAACTCTTCAACTTTAGGGTTTTATGGTTTTATGAATAAACCAATAAACTCAAGAACCTAAAACATATATATATATATATATATATATATATTTGCTAAGTCATGAAATTGTGCATTTCATAAAAGATAGATTACAAAACTCTATAATCCTTCAAAGACAAAAAATATCTCTATCGGGAAGGCTTTACTTACTTCCTTTATATAAAAACAAAATATACTCTTTTTACAAAATATTCACTGAATAATTTTAACTCAAAATCTCCAACAAACATACTTAACAATCATCCCAATTCTAGACACAATAAAATTGTGAACCACCATAAAACCCATCAAACATGTTTTAGTTGTCTCTTCTCCCTGAGCCTTTGAAAACATCACCAGAAAGCATCTAGTTACCACATTCATCACATTGCCTGCAATAACCATAGAAGAGCAAAATAAAAGTTAATCACCCTTGAAAACACCAAGATCCACCATATAAAAAATAAAACAAAATAAGAAATAGCTTGATGTCATCTCCGCTATTTGAATAGCGAGATAAACAGTATTTGATCAGAGAAAGAAATCGAGATTTAATTTTGAAATTTTTGTTTGAATGGCGGGATAGAGAAAATTAAAACCATTTTAATTGTCTGAAATTGTTTAAAGGGTGTTGTTGTCAAGGCATGCCAAAAATTGGTTAAAAATAGTTAAAATTATAAAAAAAATATTTTTGAATTGGACTTATGAAGAAGGTTATTTCTCATAATTTCTTCTACATAAAAAATAAAGTTAACTTTATTTCATTGTAAACAAAAGAATTTGTGATTAATAGAAACCTATTTGTTAAAGGTTAAATTATACAATTAGTTCTTGTATTTTACCAAAATGATAGATTTAGTCTTTATACAATAATTTGTGAAAATTAAGTCATTGTACTTTTTAAAATTAACAATGTTAGTCCAATATGTTAAACTTTTTTTAGTTATCTATGCTGATATGACATTTTTTTGTTGATGTTACATTGAATATGATAACGTATTAATGTTGACATGGCATTTTTTATCTATTTCACAACATTCTTTTCACAATTTTAAATTATTGATCACAAATTCAATTTTTCTCTATCTCACAACATTCTTTTCCTAAATTCTAAAATCCTATTTGTATTTTTTATTATTTCTTTTACAATCTTATTTCAAACCATTAGCTTACATTGAATGATTTCATATCTACACTTCTAAAATCCATGTTAGTGCTTGGTTATGTTATATTAGCATTATTATTACATCATTTGTGAAATGTTATATCATTATTATCTTGTCATCATATTGAAGTCATATTAAATTAAAAAGTCACGTCAACACACCAAAACGTCATATCAACATAAATAATAAAAAAATTTCAACACATTGGACTAACATTGTTAATTTTAAAAAATACAAAGATTCAATTTTCATAAATTATTGTATAAGAACTGTGTCTGTTTGTCTTGACTTTTTTTTAACTTCTTTACTATTTAAAGGTAGATGTCAATCAAATAGGATTTTGAGAAACATTTAAAAAAATATTTTTTTAGAGAACAAAATTTAAAAATAAAAAACTTCAAGACAACTTTAAGTGAGGAGCTTTATTTTTTCTTTTTTCAAAAACACATCAACTTTTCAAAAGATTTTATTTTTCAAAAATGTCTTTATCTATTAAAAGAATTTGAACATTACCCTCTATGGTAATTTTAACTAAAATTCAAATTTATATAAGTTGTTTTATCAATCAACGTATCAATAAAAAAGAGTTTATGAAAATAAATTTATTAAACAGTTTTAACTTAATTTTAAAAGTTATTATTTTTCATACAAACTTTATTATAGCTTTTAAACTGAAAAAACAAAACTAGGCAAAATTGTCTTTAAATCCACCATTATACTAGAATATAAAGACTAATTTTCATAATTTAACTTTATTAAGTACCCTTTATGGTAATTTTTATTAAAATTAAAACTTATATAAATTATTTTACCAAACAACTTATCTACAAAAAAAGCTTAAAAAAATAAATTTACCGTACAGTATTAATTTAATTTTAAAAACTATCACTTTTCATAAAAATTTTATAATAACTTTTAAGTTAAAAAAAATCAGATCAAACAGGCTTTAAGTTTACGTTACTTTGTAATGAATTTTCTATAATTTCCATAGAAACAATTAATGCATTTGGTACAACTTAAGAAGAAAGATGGATATATTACTATTATATATATATCATATGCTTTGTAATGCATTTGTTATTAATTGAGTTAGTTTGAAATAAAATTATTTATGTTTAAGTCATTCGGATCTTTTCGAGTAAAATCAAATTAAATTAAGATTTTGAACGGACTATTTAGATAAAGTTAAAATTTTTATTCACAATTAAATTATTTAAAATTACATTTTCATTAATATGTAGCATATATGTCATTTTGATTTTTAATATCAAAAAATAAATTTTTAAAATATAATTAAACCATATAAAAAAGCAAGAGATTATTTTATATAAAAAAGACGACAATTCCCCACCTAAAGAATATTATCACTAATTTTTTTATTAATTGATATTTAATTTTCATTTTTATTAGTGATTTACTATGATTATGGTTATGGCTTACAATTTACAAAGTCAACCATAACTTCAAAAGTCTAAAATGATGTTAATTAGTTTTGAGATTTTTAGAATTTTATTTCAAGATAAAAATAAAAATTATTTGAAAATTTTAAATATAAGTAATATTTAATTCTCTCTATAACTATTTTTAAGAGTTAAAATTTAGTATATGAAATTCACATTATAACTTCTTTCTAATATTTAATATTCACTTTAAGAACTTTTACTCATAACTAAAAAGGATAATATCTAGAATCATATTAAAATACAAGATTAGAGCAAAGAGATTTTGAAAAATAAATTTAAAGTTATTAAATATTATTAGATTAATAATTTCTCATTTTATAATTAAATTAATATTTTTAAAAATATAAAATTATACTCTATATAAGTTTGGGTGGTTTCGATTTTAGATGGGACAGATTCGAATTATTAATTAGATAAAATTTGAATTCAAATAAATTAAAGGAAAATTTGGAATTAATTGAAGTTAGCTCAAGTAATCAACCAAACACTGCCCAAGTACCAACCCCTGCAGTAGCCATTTATTAATCATTATGGAAAGTTATAGCTTTAAAACAGAGAAAGTACAGTGTTGATTGCGTCATCAGTCCTTCAAAAGGCGAAGACAAAACACAGAGTGCATGTCATCACTAGTCACCCATCTCTTCCTCTGTTTGCTTCTTTTCTAAACACATCACCCACTCTCTCCCAAATCCCATAAAGGAGAAAAAAAAAAAGGAAGAATTCAAAATGAAATAAACTTCTTCTTCATCTTCTCTTCTGGTGAGTTTATTTCTTCTCCTCTGTTTTTCATTTTTCAGATAATTCTTCGGCATCTATACAATAATATTACTATGTAAGGCTTTTTCCTCCTACTGTTGTGTTGTTCTTTTTCATGGGTAATGATTTGTTTCTTCCAAGACTTAATGTGGATGAGGGTTTTATAATTGGACTGAAATTAATTCTTCTAGTTAGTAATTTTTGGTTTAACCTTGGTAAGAGAAACTAAATCGTTTTAGCTTTTATTTTTTTTTCTTCTTCATCTGTGGATCTAGAGAAGATTGATGTCGGTACTTTAAAGGAAGACTTGAAATAATGACTCCAATTTTGCATGATAATGACTAAAACCAAGTTATCTTGGTGGGGTTTTACTGTTTGTGCGATTGTTTTAAGGGACAGTGGGAGAAAGAACTCATTTTAAGTTATTCTAAATGCCATTGCTTTTCACCCTTTGCTAGAGTTCTAGTTAAATTTTTATAGTATTCAATCTAAATATGGTATTGTCTTTGAGTACTTGCTTAAACTTGATAGAAAAAGAAATCCAGGAGTAGGGGAAAAAGAAAAAGAGCTCCTTGGTTTTAATTTTTATTCTGGGGAAGAGGGATTCGAACCAGCTTCTTGGGTTAGGAAATACATGCAGTGTCCCTTGTGACAAATGCTTAGGTGCAATATAGCTTATTTTTAACATGCTTGCTGGACTGGTTGCCTGATTTTGTAATACTTGCTTCATTTTGGGCACATAATAGTTCAATATGCACAAAATTCTCGGTGATTACAACATAGATTAATTATCTGATTTTGCGAAATTTGAATCTTAGAGTCAGCAGGAACTGGCAATCACCGCTTTACACTGCTTTACCATTTAATGAATAATTCAGGTTTACAATCCATGGCCAAGCCCACTTGAACAAGTACCTTCATCTAAAGCCCACTAATCCCACATTCAGTATGTGGAATTTTGCTACAAAGGCCTTTACTGGAGCCAGCGGGTTGAAGACTGATTCATTGAAACCAAGTCAGGTTTCTTCAGAATGCTCAGATGATGAATCTTTGAACCACAGTGGAGAGGAAAGATTGGAATGCCCAATATGCTGGGAATCCTTCAATATTGTAGAGAATATACCCTATGTTTTATGGTGTGGCCATACTTTATGTAAAAATTGCGTCTTAGGGCTGCAACGGGCTGTTGTGAAGTTCCCTACATTACCAATCCATCTTCCATTCTTTGTCTCTTGCCCATGGTGTAATCTATTCTCTTTGAGGTTGGTCTACAAGGGGAATGTCAAGTTTCCCAGCAAGAACTACTTTCTCCTCTGGATGGTTGAGAGCATGAATGGTGATAGGTCAAAGTCTCATTCTTCCTTTCATGGGGTTCCACCTGCCTGCTCTACAAATAGAATGATAGATGCAGGAAATAAGCTTAGGCGTGCAAACAACAGGCGAGCTTCATATTCTACTCACCATCCAGAGTCCAGCTTGATCACTGGCTATTTCAGTGCTGAAAGACTCCAATTATCATTCCGTAAGTCCTTGGTTTTCTTTTTACACTTAACAGCTAAGTTCCCTTTGATTGTCATATTTCTGTTGATGGTCTTATATGCCATACCTACCAGTGCAGCCATTTTGGCCCTGTATATTCTTATCACCGTTGTGTTTGCCGTCCCTTCTTTTCTTGTTTTGTACTTTGCCTTCCCCAGTTTGGATTGGCTGGTTAGGGAAATCATCAATTAAACTGCCCTTAACATTCCCTTCTTATGCCATGAAATCTTGTAGCATTGTATTGCTCCATGTGAAAACCCCGTGCAATTTGATGACTTCTCCATGTTTGATGCCATGTAACCATGTAGTTGAAGCTCGGTTATGAAAATATATCAGTATTGCGGATCAGCTGAGTTGATTTTAGCATCTGTTTTAATGCAATGGATGTTTGGATGGTCAATTGCTTGCCAGCATGGTGCCTGATATGCAGCAGAGATAAAGATCTCCAATAGAATCAACTCTTGTCCTGCTGAAGATGTCAAAAATCTATTGTATATATGCACTGAACATTTTGCTTCCTACCTAGGGAAATTACCCTTGTTTTGTATGTGAAAAATTAATGGTTTAATTGGACTATTTTTATCTTGCTGTTGTATATTATAGGTTAAATTCAGCGTTTGTAGTTTTGGTATAAAAGCAAAGCAACATATTACCCTGGAGTTTGGATGGTTGATTTTTTAAAGTACAAGATGTAATACGATCAAGGCTTGCAGCTCCAATTTCTCTTAACAGGCTGCTATGCCAAACCGTTGTGCGAAAAAGTTCTGGGACTTCAATCTCTTGTTGCAGCAACGTTCTTTTATCAGCTTTTTACCTACTTTGTTTTAGGAAGACATGGAAAGCAAAAAGACTAACTTGGAACCTGAGTTTAGGAAAGGTAATGAACTACTGATCTATATGGTTGCTCCTCATAAACTGATTTCCTTTCTGAGCAATCGCTTCCAGGGCCTTATATTGGTTGCTGTCACGGGGAGTCAATGAACTTCAGGTCTCTATTTGCAGCCCCTACGTTATTTTTATCCATGGTGGGAAGACGAAGGTGTGGGATAGTCTTGGCATTGTCCAATTCTACTGTCATTGGCCCTTGTGGTGGCTTTGATACAATGGAATGCAAAGTGTGAATGAAAATTGGTTTGGCTTTAGCAAGCGTGAAAGAGTTGTATTATGAAACTGAACTAGTTCTTCCTCCAATTCAATTTAAAAACATGAAACATGAATGATGAGTTGGGGACCAAGGAAAGCTCAGAAGCATTATCAGATCAAATAGATATAAAGGAATTAGAAAAACAATAGTAGTACCAAATTCCATACCTCACAAGGCCAGTGACCTTTTTGTTAACGTAGAGAGTTTTGGACTTCAGTCTTTAAGTCTCACTGATAGCCAGGTCAAAAAATGGTGAGTTCTTAGGGAGAGTACTGGGACAAAATTTGTAGTATCTTTATCATGGTAGAGAATGGAGCTACTTTCTGGTTTGGGGTCCATGCCATATTGTGGGAGCAATTAGCTCGAGCATCTTCTCCTTAATATTTGGCTGTCAGGTTGTGTGATACCATTATTGCAATTCAAATCACCCAGAGCTGCATTTCTTCCCCTCCTCTACATTACCGCATGCTACTCCTTTTTTAGCCACATATTGAAGGCTGCTAGTGGGAACCCTTGAAAGAGGTCATAAACTCATGATTTCAAGGACCATTTCATTTTCTTTTTATTTTGTTTCTTTTATAGCTATGACATTTCACTTCAACTTTGCTCAGCTTCAGCTTTGATTGCTGAAAAAGATAAACGAAAAAGAAGAAGCATTCAGACATTCTTTTTCTTGCTTTTCCTCTTTTCATTTCTGGTCTGGCCCAAACATTCTTTTAGTGGTAGGTACAAGTATCTTTTACTCGAAGAGCAGGTTCAATACTTCAATTTTTCTCAAATTGAAAAAAGGAATATAGACCAAGAGATTGTTACAAATTTGTGCAGCCATTTTTTGGATATAAATCAGGCAACATAATTATGCATAATGTGTTGGGTGGCTTTAATTTTGGTGTTAAATGAATTAACTTGATTGCTTGAACTCCAGTTTATTCAGCCTTAAAGAAGGAATTTTATTTTTCAAGGCAATGACGTGCTGTTCTAAATTTTAAGAAAGAAGAAACCTAAATTAGCAAATCCTTCATAACCCATTTTTATTATTAGTTGAATTTATTTAATTCATTCACCAGTCATGAGATATCTCTTATCAACAAAGCCTGATATATCTTGGTTTTCAATGATCCCCATGGCCTGTGTTTTGGGAATGAGGAAATTAGCTTGATTTAGTCATAGGAAAACAAAGTTTCCAACATTGTGGGTGGAGGGATAGGGATACATTAATGGTGACCTAGGATAGAAAAAAAAGGAATATAGTCATGTAATTGTGTAATAATTAAGGTAGAAATTGAATTGGGATGCAGAAGATATAGTTAGATATAGAAGAGTTTTATAAAGAATGTGAGTAATGGTAAGATAAAATTGTACAAGGATTGAAACAACAGAATAAGAGTAACAGAATAGAAGATTCTGCCTTCCTCCCTTATGAGACAAATATGAGGTATAGAGGTGAGTGGATCTCAACTGATAAATTAAAAAGGGAAGAAGGATTAAGGGTGATTAATTTTCACCATTAACAAGCTCTAATACCATGTTTACATTTAAACAAGAATAAAAGAAGAGAGGAAAGAGATAAGGGCAAAAGCAATAATAACTTAAGCCTTTGTATATTGACAATGCATTAAGAGTGAGTTCATCTCTTCTTTTTATTTAAGCAATACAAGGTATGGGAGGTTCCTTAATGAAACTTTTCCCAACGGTGCAATAATTTAAGTGTAATATAATCTAATCCCTAAACTAAAGCTTATGTCAATATTTGCTTGATTTGTTCTCGAAATATTACAAATCTGATAAACCTGCCTTGTGTCGTATGTTGTATTGCCTTGAACATGTGTTAAGTTATATGGTTTTAACTGCTTTATTACATGTACTTGACTGATTCTTCTTCTGCCTTGATTTGTTTTGCAGCATCTTTCTTGTTGCTGTCCAAGTTCTATGGTGCGGTAGGGATGTTGGTGACGAGGGATGGTGCTTATATAGTTCATAATTAAAAAAAAAAGTCCATTAAAGAATACTTATGACTCTCTATAAGATGTCAAAAGTAAAGTTACTTGATTTATAATTATAATAATATATTATGATGATATTGTTTTAATTATAGACAACAATAATAATAATGTGACAAGATCATTTCTCTATTTTTTTTTAGATAAGTAACCTAAACTTAGCAAGTAGCATACTTATAATTTACTAATGACAACGTTGTATATTTTTTCCCAAAAAAAAAAAAAAAGGGAAAGGACCATGCAAACTCCACGTCCAAAACAAACACTAATGTTAGCTTAGTTAGGATTAAGGTTTCATTTTGAAGGAACGAGGTTTGGTTTCAACAGACGCGTTTCCATTTGTCAAAAACAGAAATGAAACGAAAATGCAGCAGCCGCTACTTTTCTTCTTTCTTTTCCTGTTGCCTAAAGAATGTTTGCATTGACAAACCCTTTCTTCTATCATTTCAAACTTGCAAAAACTCAAAGGTTTGGCCTTTTGCTTTTTCACATTAACCTTTTCTCAGTTGTTTATTTGCAATGTTTCTCATACTTGTGGCTTTGGGATGGTTTCTATTTTTTCTTTTCAATTTTTTTGGTTTCTGAATATGTGGGGGTCGCAAAGAGTTTGTCTCTGTTCTGAATATGAATTTCAGCTTTTGGCATGTCAATTACAAATGGGTTGTTCTTTGTTTGATCGTGAATGTGTTTGGTTGATGAGAAAGTTTTCCTTTTTTTTTTTCAAATGGTAGTGTTTTGTTTTCTCTTCTTTTTTCTTTTTCATTGTTGCCAAATACATAGTTTTGATCAATATATTGGTGCAGGGAATTGCAGAATTGTTTTTGATTCTTATAGGTTATTTGCATTGTTTCAAAAAATTGCATTGAGATGATACTATTACTCTGAAACCTCCATTTTTAATTTGTCTGTGAATCCTTTGATAAGTTTATGACAAAAATGATTGGAGACATTGCTTTTCCGTAGATTATTAGTCATTGCCACCCTAGGACATGGAATTACCTGGTGTATATCGTAGAGCAATTGAAGTGCTACGTAAAATATGGTAGCTGTTATGGAAATTTGTAGCCATCACCAAAATTGGGAGCAAAAGACATTTTAGGATTTCATGAATTTTCTTCTCGGCTGCTATGTGGTTGTTCCATGCTTAATGTTGGCAAAAGAAAAGAACTTTTTATCCCTGAAATTGGTATTGTAACAATAATCTGGCTGAATAGGCTTTCGTCACCATGAATTATCTTCTAATAAGCATTGCTTTACTGTGGCATGAAGGACCAACGATTTTATGGGTTGTAGTCTTGTTTTCAATCTACTGTGATATCGGGCTTTTGGCTGCATCAAGAACAATAGAAACAAAAATTGGCCTAATTATTGTTAAAATGCTTTGAATTCAGCGGGTGTTTGAGGAAACAAATTATTTAACTAAGCACTTAGAAAATCTGAATGAAGTCATATAATGTAGAGGAGAATGGATTAATTTGTTTCATACATTCCTTTGTGAGGTTGTTGTAGTAGTGGCTCTAACTTTGCTTAACTTATTTACAAATTGTGAGTATCGTAAGATCCCTCAAGACATATTCTTAACTTTATTTCTTTTTCTAGGCTGAATACCTTTTTCTAATTTTAGCAGGACGAGATAATATTTCTTTCTACTTTTGTCAGACAATTGCTTAACACCTTGCTTCAAGGCTGGTCTGTGTGTGCGTATAGGACTGTGTAAGTGCTTCTAACAAAATCCCTTTGATCTACTGCAGGCTTGTAAGTCATAATGATGGTAGAAGCTATAATTGATATCCCAGCTATCCCAAAGATAAATGAGATTGAAAGTGTTTCCACAAGGAGGCACTCTACTGGGAAGGTTATCATGCCAAGTGGTGGAGTAACAGCTATTTCACGTTACCTCAGAACTTCACAGGGTTCTTGCCATGACATTTGCAAATATGGAACAGGGTGTAATCTTGAAACAGAGTCAAAGAGTCGAAGGAGTTCGATGCCTAAAATTATTACACCAAAGCGAGGTGCAGGCCAAACTAGGGAAAGAACTGAAAGTAAATTGGGGGAGAGAAGGAAGAAATCAGAAGTTAGTCTTAAGCTCTCTTCAGATTTCAATATCCAGGAACCTGAATATCCTGTTGTCATCAAGAGTACAAAAAGACAAGGAGGACACCATGTGGAAAACACTGAAACAAATTTAACAGATAGAAAGAAATCAGAAATTAATCTCAAGCCTTCTGATGATACCAAACCCCAGAAACCAGACTATTCTGTTGTCAGTCTTAAGCCCTCTCCTGATGATCTGGTTGACATCAAAACTATAGCAGAAGAAGGTGAAGTCCAAGATGAAGAAAATGCTGGAACTAAATTATCAAAAGGAGATAAGAAACCAGATGTTAGTCAGAAGACTTCTCCCGATTCCAAAAGCCAGAAACCTGTTGATCCAGATCGCATTGGAAGGGAAGCATCATCATGGAGCGGAAAAGAATTTGTCTCACCAAAGCAAGTTCCATTACTTCTCAGGGAAACTGATTTTGCAGTTGCACATGCTAGAGATTCAAAGCTGAAGCGTCAATCAAAGCCATATTCTCCCCTAAAACAGGCATGTTCGAGTGGCAAACAGAACATTGAAGGCAGCAAAAGCAAGGAAACAAATGTTATGTCCATGACTTCATTAGGAGTTTCAGGTGGCAGAAATAAAGGTGAAAGGACAATAAGTGAAGGAATGAGAAACTTTATGATTGGTGAGAAGAAAAATGTAGTGCCATCATCTGTTTCCTTGTCTCCCAAAAAATCAAGTAACAGTGTTTCAAGCATGAATGCCAAAAAAAAGAAGTCAAGAGGAGTTTGTCGTTCAAAGAAGCAGGAGAATTCAAAGAAAATTAAGCCTGAGAAGTCCTGCGGTAAGGATGCAATAGGGTCCAAGAACGTAACAGGAGTTTCTCATTTGACAGATCAAGAGAATGCTCAGAAATCTTATTCTAAGCAAACGAGCATTTCAGATATTCCTGAGAAGACTTTGTACATAATTGAGTCAAATCCTGAGAACAAGCCTGCAAAATCCCTTCAAAGTAGTTTTCATGTCAGTGATTTGTCCACAATGCCATCTTCATTTTCTAAGGACAAGAGCGTGAAACACACTGGATATGGAATTCCTATAGGCCAATCTCCCCGATCATATGAGAAGAAGAACATGATATACAGGCCAAAAGGAATTCATGCCCGTGGATTGCCTCCATCCTTGTCCTTACTCCCTGGTAAGAAAGGGTTGGCATCCACTCCATATGGATTGAATGTCACTCAACCATCTTTAACTTCGTCATCGTCATTGGCATCATCCAAGTCTATCCATAGTTATGACTCATCAGAACATGATGAAGTGGCTGCAAAAAAGCAAACAAGTAGCTCAAAAATGATGTGCAAGGGTAGACCTAAAAGGGCTTTGGTAACCACTTTAAATGACAAACATTTGCAAGGTGAAAAGATGAATTTTCAGAGAGGAAAGGTGATTGAAGTTCCGCTTGAGGGTTGCACTCCAAGGAGACTTGCATTTAAGCAAAGAATGCTCACTGACAACAGAAATGATGATAACCAAAAAGGCGAAGTTGAGGACTGTACTCCAAGGAGACTCAAGTTCAGGAAAAGAGTGCTCATTAACAACGGAAATGGTGATAACCAAAATGGTAGATGTGAGGAGTTTATTCCAAGGAGACTCAACTTCAGGAGGAGAGCTCTTGTTGACGACAGAAATTCTGATAACCAAAATGGTAGAGGTGAGGACTATACCCCAAGGAAACTTAAGTTCAGGCCAAGAGTGCTTGATCACAGCAAAAATGGTAATATCCTAAATAGTGAAGGTTACACAAGCAAGAACAATTCTGTAGGAAAAGAAGCTGATATTGGCCAGGATAATGCCATTGAAGTCCAATCTGACAAAATTTCTTTGAGACATAGTGATGTTAAAGAGAAGAAAAATTCAGGGATTTTGTACAACAATGTGATTGAAGAGACTGCAAGTAGGCTTGTGAGGACTAAGTCGAGTAAGGTGAAGGCTTTGGTTAGTGCTTTTGAATCTGTCATCTCTCTTCTGGATACTAGTTTCTCAGAAACAAATAACATATGCGGAGTTACTGAAGGTCTTTGATGTACTGTACAAACTGAAAAAAAAGGGTAAACTAAAATTTAAAGGTGATACGAAATAACTAACTTCTGAGGAAAATGCAGTAATATAATGTGAGGAAAGCTTTGAGTAATTAAGAGTTATCCATGTGTTTTTGCCCTGTATATTAGGCCTTAATGCCGTTTTGCTTTGTATTGCTCTTTTTTCCTGTACATCAGCTATAGAGAATGAAAACTTGCATCGGATGGTATTTAACTATGGGATAGCGAATAAACTTTAGCTTCTTTTCCCTCTCATATTTGAATCACTTAGAGTAGATGAAAGTTTGCATTATGAATTTATAAGGTCAGATTATAGTGTTTGATAGGTACTCTCCAAATATTATGCAGCATACATTGATCCTTTTGTTGCAATGAGGAAGCATATGTAGGGATGATGAATTTATTGGGTACCGAAGATCTAATGGAGATTGTACATAAACAATCTGTCCTTCGTTTTCTCGACTAGACAAGGTGATTTGTGGATCATTAGATACATGCAAGAATTCAAGAACATATTTCCAATGAGGGCATGGCATTGTGCATCATGCATTTGAAGACAAGCTAGCTGCTGTTTTTTTCTCCTTGTTCTACTATATAAAATTGTTAAAACTATGTAAGAAATCGATACTTTCTTCTAGAAATCCTTTAATATATGAGCAAGTTAATGTCACAGAGGATAGGAAGTTTTACCATTTCTCAAATTGTTCTAGAAATCCTTGTGATGGTACTGTATTTTTCCATTACTGCCTGGTAAACACATTCCACCGTCCACGCAGGAGGTGGCTCCCAGTTTATCCGAGAATTTTTCTTCCTAACTTCATCTCCGATAAGTATCATTAATCTGGAAAAAGAAGTTCCACTATCAATGCAAAGGGTCAACAGTAAGCTAGCAACAGATTCAAGGTACACTCTGTCAAGGATGGCAACCTTGAAGCCAATATTAGTTTATATATATAAAGTTCGGGGAATTACAAATTGGGGCGGTGGAATCAAAATAATGGTTGATTGCTACCATGCCCAAAGTTTTTAATTCGGAAGGAAATGCCAAGGCCAAGCTGGATAATTGGTTAAGAGGAAATTTCTTTTACTTTTTTGACCATATTGAGAGAAATTATAGACTTTGCATATGGTTCTGTACATATGGTAGAAGAAGAATATACATATGGTTCTGTCACTTTGTACTAAGCCTTTTTGTTTTATTTTTATTAGAGAAATCTTCTCGTATAAACAAAAAAAAATGCCAATTCCTTTTGCTAGCTCAAAAACTTATACTATAATCTCATAATGATCCTATGACTCAGGGTTTAGAGTAAAATTTTTTTAATATATTTTAAACGTGTAAATATAATTTAACAAAATATACATATATTTGGAGTTTTATGTACCCTAAGAACCCAAAGTTAAAAACATTTATTAGCATAGATATTTGATTTTAGCTATTAACTTATAATACCACCCAGAGAGTAATGAGAACAATCAGAAGTGCATTTTGGAGATAAGCCAATGCCTAAAATATCTTAACAAGATTCAATGTTTAACGCTACAATCTCTTTTTGATAAGAATTTAAACAAAGGATTATATATTTCTAACAAGCATTTAGATTTTCAAAGTTCCCTTAATTTTTAAGTTATACGGATGGACATACAGTTTAAACTTAATTGTATTTTTTTTTCTTGTTAAATGTACATATATTTGAGCTTTACGCACATTGCAAACACCAAGAGTACTTTGCAATGGAAATCTATTACTTTTTCCTTTTTCTTTTCTGGTTAGAGAAAATTTGGATGATGGGGTCAGAGAATTACGTCTGGTTTATGCTAGAGAATTGGATTATAATTTGGTTCTTGAAATTTTATCAAAATCTGATAAAACATAGACATGCCATAGCCAATGATATTTGATAAAATAAATATATTTTCCTTCTAAACTACGAAAGAAGTGGATCTACAAATCACAAGTAGAAGCCCATTGGGCTAACGTGTAAGCTAAGAGTTCGCTCCTGAGTAGCTCTCAGTTCTCATGGAACAAGCAGGAGAATGAACCCAGTATCTCTACTTTAAGTACGAAGCTCTCACCAATCAACTTCTCATTTAAGTTAAGCCTGGTTCAATTCATTCAAGCTTCAAACGGATTGGAGTTGGAAGAATGAGCTCGACATACCAAGCAAGGAGATAGAAATTAAATGAAGAAGGTCACTCTCATGCTAGAAGTGACACCTATTCCAGGGTGTACAAAATTTTCACTGACCAGTCCCCTTTTATCCAATCTGTGGCGAGGATGCTATTGGTCCTCACTCTACACTCCAGGAAATTCAATTCATAATGTTACGCTCCAATACTCTATTCTTAGGCTCATTCTATCCAATTCTGTCTAATTAAAGACAACATTGATTTGCTACATGCATTGTCAACCGGAAATGGGGGTTCAAGTAGAATGTCAACCCAAATGAATGTCCTTTCGATAACGCTGTGGTCCCCTGAAGGGTATGACCACGGCATCCTTGTGGTATCTATTGACTATATTAAGATGTTAGATCCATGGTGACCTTCTTATGACCAAACTCTCTAATTTTGCAGTGATGTGAAATAGGTTCCATTTCATTTTTTTCATTTGGCATGGTGCTCCCTACAATTTTTGCAGCTCTCCTTGTTTAGACCAATCAGATAAAGCATTGTGCCTTGAAACCATGGAAATTTCCACTAAGGCCCTGAGATTGTCATATTTACATCTCTCCCTCTCTTTAACTAGAACATATCAGAAAGCAGTTTAGAGGAATGGATAGAAACAAATTATATGGGGAGAAAGTCAAGTGCAAGCTGCAGCCAAAATTTGAGCTGGGTCCCTTTAGTTGCAGTCAGTGTCAATCTTCCTTTCACAATAATAACAGATTGAGACTAGCAAGCCATTTGGGTTGCAGCTGTGAACAATGTTGATGTTGACCGGATAGCTAGAAAGCCTACCATAGCCTTCTCAAGACCACACTTTACTCCCGTGATGCCGCTCTTGTACCCTAAGCTGCCAGACAAATGACTAGCACATTTTGTCAGAAAATAACATCATATAGTAGTTAGGGATTGCTACTTGTCTTCAGGAAAAATAAAACCTATATATATCCTATGATTTTAACGTGACTCTAGGGCTACTCGATACAAGTGATAGGCAATGAGAAGTTGAACTTGTGCATGATCAAGTTTTAGCGACACGGTTGTCCAAGGTATAATTGTGATGTAATACTCCTAGAACCTTTCTTTGTTGTTTGACATCTAATCCAAATCCAGTTAATAACAAAAATATGGAGAAGTTTTGATATTTTCTAGAGAATGTAAAATATCCAGCTAATGACAACAATGTGGCGCAATTTTGAAATCTGATACACAATATATAGAAAAGGAAACTTTGTTTTGTATACGTATGCCCTATCTGTAATATGCAAATCGATTAGGATTTAAATGAGTAATTCCTTCTGTTGCTAACTCTCCTCAAAGCTGTTTCTATTAGAACTCTTAATACCACCAAGTGTTACTTTCTATTAATTATAAGAAAGGCTGAAAGGAATGTTTTAAGTCGAAAAGAATTTTTCTTGCTGGTGAACTCTTCTTATATATTATTGGTGATAATTCTTTTATTTAATTCGAAGGATTGGATTGTCTCCCCTGGAATTCTGTAGGGCAATGAGAATCCAAGTGCATGTCTCTTGTGAATGCATCTGCACATGGAATAGTCGGTTTGTGTGGACTACGTTTCATGGTCCCCTCCGAAACATGACCACATGCATAGGCTAAGTGAACGGCTTTATGCGACCCCGATGCCCACTGAGGAGTAAATTAAGCTGATAGAATCTCTAGAACCATCCAAAAAATTAGAAGATAAGACATGACTGCATTTAAACCTATGTCATGCTCAAGAGTAGCATTCTTTTCTTTGAAAATATAACTTGTTTAATGTGACATTTTTTCATTAGTGACTCTCGAAGCTAATTAAAATTTTGAGATATTCATTGGTTCTGGCTCGTTAATCAACTCAAATATTCATATGTAACAAAAAATGATGTTTTAAGGCCTAACTAAATATTCATTAATCAGACTTCAGAGTCCAACCCAAGACAGATCCTCATAGCATATATACTAACTACTAAACGAAAGTAGTAAGGCATGTGATTTATAGTGACCGAAAATATGGCATGTGAGTTATTCTTTTGTGTATGCTTGAGGAGTAGCCAGCTTTAGATTGGTGATAATGACTTTATTTTGACGTTTCAATTAATTAACCAAAAAGAATTATTATGTTTTCTTCATTCATTCGAGTCTCATTTGCTATGCTAATCAACAACTTGCATAATATACGTAGCCGACAAAGCTTGTTGAACCTAAGCTCATCTTAGAGGCATCTTTGGCACCGTTTTGATGATATTAATATTCACAAATTAATCTTAATTTGAATTTTTTTCTTTTATTTTTAGATACTTTTGGTTGAGGTGATGAATTATTATAACTATCAACGCCTATTTAAACAATTTGTGTCTAGAAGGGTTGCTAGTAATTATGAATTAGCTATCAGTGCTTTGACTGTCTAAGTAGATATTTTGTTTCAAAGAATTGACACTTGGGGTGTTAATGTTTTTCAGAGTTCTTTTGTGACTCGCGAGTTGTGTCAATTAGATTCACAAATCAATTAATTATTGGTTAAACAATCAGAAACCTTAATAACATATTTGAATAAAGAAAACTATACCCATTCATAGTAAATACAAGGGAAACAAATATTTAAATTACATGTTGAAATTCACCATAATCCTAGAAAAATAGTTTGGCTCATAATATCTAATAAAACCTTCACCTAAAGAAAATTAGCCATTAATTGAAATCAAAGAGAATAAGAAAAACACGAAAGTAGAGAGAGAAAACTAATAATTAAAACTTTATGATCTTAATTCTTCCTCAAATTCTCTTACTTTCTTACTTTGTTTTTTACTCTTTTTTCCCAAAGAAATTGTTTGTTGCCTCCTCCAAAAACCTAAGAAAAAAAGCTCTTTAAATAGCCTCCAAAAGTCTTACCTTCCAAAATCATGTAAGATCTTTATTTTTTGAAAAACACCTGGAAAGCCACGCCTCTCATTTTGGGAGCCACAACTCTCAAAGGTTCTGTCTTGACTTCCTGCTCTCTTAGTGCAGTGCTTCTACTTCAACAAAGAAAAATATCAAAGTTGTAGCTCTGTCTCTTAGC